CGATTCCACTATAAAATTGTCAAACTTAGCATTATCATCGAACAAGTGAACAATTTTGACTAGTTGAGCAAGATTCGATAATTTGATTCCTAGGAACGAGATCGTCAACGAAGGCAAGCCCGGTTTATGCATTAAACCAAATTGACTTTGAAAAGTTTTTTGTGCGGATTCGCATTTATAAAGGCATAGAATCAACTTTAGATTTTCAAGCTATTAAGTAAACCATCTAGCTCGGGTGAATCCCGTTGTCGCTTTTAAAGGCCACGCAAGATCTTTTCATCGCCACCTAAGAAGTTTGTACTACCACTTTACCAAAGTTTTGTATATGCGTTCTATAGCATTCGTGCTCAATAAAAATTCCTTTAGAACCCTAAGTGATACAACTGGGACTTGAACCGGAATATAACATTCATTCGCGTAGCAATGCAGGTGTGAATTACTAAAACGATGAACGAAATATGTGATATCAATTTCTTAGGGTTCAAAAATATTGCTTTTACAACCTATATTACACACATTTACACATAAGTATGATGCATGCATGTCGTTTTAGCGATGAGAAAAGATCAATGCACTAGTTTGTGTGAAATAAATAATGTTAATGTAATATTACCGCTACTATGGTTGTGATACTTATGGATGTAAGTTTGAAACAATGGTTTGTAATATTAAAACTTAAGTCTTCCGCTTTATAATCTCGGTATGTATAAAAAAACTGTTGTGCAATGACCGTGGATTGGGATGTTTGGATGGAGCGATGACACCTATTAAGTTGTTGGGAACTTATGTAGTTTAAGGACGAGAACCCAGGTGCACGTGGGCCCGATTTTGAGATACAACAACATCCACATTCGCCACGGCCGGCAAATAACTCATCTCGGGTGACCTAGACCTTGAGATCCACTTGTAGCACCAGAGATGTGCGTGGGAGGAGTTGACATTGCTCACTTCCTATCAAATGACAAAGGCAAAAAACATACATGGCCACATGAGAAGATTGATAAAATGGCACACATTGATACAACGTGGGGAAAATGCCCCTTGACATCTAGGGAAGGGATGCGCGCGTATGCAATGCCAATTGGATGGATGACGACGGATCACGACTGGATTCACGGTACCGCAATAGTGGGAAGCTTGGCGCAAAGTCGACTCCCACTTGACCTCCGGACTGCTGTAATTACAGGATGGATGGAGGCTACTGGCGGCGAGGGCTTGGGTGGATTTCTAATTGGGGAAGCACCGCAGCGCAACGGTGAACATCGTGGTGACTCACAAGGACGGTGGGCGTAGCGTCATGGAGACTAACACCGGTTCGGGAGAGGATGGCGTGGCGATGGCCAGCGTGGCGACGGTAGGCGGTAGGCCACGAGTGCCGAGGACACGATTCTGCGATCGCCTGGGCCAGCGACTGACGCGACGGCGAAAGCAAGCGGCTGCTAGCGCTAGGCTCGTGGCACGAGCGCGCGCGTCATGCGTGGCGTGAGTGCGAGCAAAGAACTGGAGGCCGTGGTTAGCAGGGGGGGCGGCCGACGCCGCAACGCAGGGAATTTGCAGGGAGCGAGATGGTTTCAAGTCGCTAAAACCAACCTTAAGGCCATGCCACCGCTTAACCCGCTTATATACTTAGGGTTGGTTACGAAATTGGGCTTTTAGTGGGCTATTAAGTGCATCTTTCGGGGCCCCGATGGAGCACCTACAACGCGTGAAAATTATGATCCACCCTTTAAACCTATATTACGCACATTTATAAGTATTTCGTTTGGTAAAGATAAAGGTATTAACCGAACCCGCGAAAACCGTGGACAAAAAAAACACTTGTAGCACCATTGCTCACTTCCTAAAATGACAAAAGCAAAAAACCCGGCCACATGAAAAGATTGATAAAATGGCACGGATATCCTGACCAAACCCAATCCGCTGCCATCTTTAAATACGATTGTAGCAAAACAAGGCCTGATAGGATTTTAGAAGGGTCGAGGTCCTCGCTAGGAGGAACGAAAAAGACAATGGCAATTTGTTCCAAGAATTCTAATGAATACATTGAAGAGTAAGTATATGTTGAACGTTTGTGAAAATGTAGTGGTCCGTTTTTAATATCATGAATAATAAAGGTATATCTTTAAAACATGACATCTGTAATTAACCTAAATTTTTAATGCATAATGGGACAAATCATTGAGGCCGCTTGTATTTTGAACACTAATCGTGGCTATATCTGTTGTAGCATCATCAATTATGTACATGGATTGGTAAAAAAAACATGTATACGTCATAGGAATTAACTATTTAAATATTTTATTGTTAATTTTCTATTATATATCTCCGTTCATAAAAGAACACAACTATAGGATCTACAGGCACAATGATGGCATCTGGCCATCCATTTGGGGTTCGGCTTACACTTCAAGCAAGTACTAAAATCACACACTCAGATCAATTACCCCGCCAGCTCCTTTTATTTGGATATGGAAATTCAAATATATACCACATGTGAATTTTTTTGGTTGGCTGCTACTCAGTGATCGCCTGAACACAAGAAATATATTGAGAAGACGTCACAAGCATCTTGATGAAGGCTACAATTGTGTGCTATGCTATGATAATATAGAGGAATCAGCTATGCACTTGCTTTTTGAATGCTCCTCTAGTGTTACTCGTTGGTTCCTCCTATGCACAATGATGATCATTCAGATGAAATAACAGCTACGCATCCCTTTCTTCATGGAACTTTTTCTTGATAGCAGCCTGGTGCATTTGGAAAGAACGGTGACTGTATCTTCAACAGCCTTGTCCGTTCTCCTACGGCTTGGAAACAACGCTTTATACGTGAAGTCAAGCTTCACTTCTGTCGCCTTCCTCCAGATGTTTGTCATATAATTACAACTTCGTTGAACTCTTTGTAATAGGTAGCTCCTTTCTCCCCCTTCAGTTAGCTTCTAGCTAACTCCTTGTGACCTGTCTCGGTTTTGGTTGGCAATATATTTCCTAGGGAGCTTTGCTCCACAGTTTCAGTAAAAAAAAAAACATAGGATCTATGCAAGTTAAACTAACCTAACTTTAACTAAATTTATAGTTAATAGTATTAACATTTATGCCTTCAACAATCTTTACTAAAAGATATATTTCATAATTATTTTAATGGCACTTATCTTATATCTTAAATGTCAGTATTTTTCTGTATAATTCTGATCAACTCTTTAATGATTTAACTTCTGAAAAAATATTTTTGATAGAGGGGAGTATAATTTTTTTCATAAACACAAGCCGACACTAGTCATGTAGTGATGTAGAAGGTCAAACAAGGAAAATTGTAGTCTGATTTTTCTCCTCGAACTTTAAATCTACATATCTGACCCCTGAACCTTGAAACCGTTCAAATTACGTTGTTCTCGTTATTTGGAGTGGTTTTGTCCTTTTCAGCTAAAACATTCGGTAAATACTTAATGAAGGTTTTTAAACCAAAAAAGTGTCTCAAGGCTTTTAAAAATTCCCCAAAAAGTTTGGAGATAGATTTTGATACTCCAAGGCCAAATAAAATAGTTAGAACTCGTGAAAATATATCTACATGCTGAAAAAATAGATTTAGCTCTAGAAAAATGGAATATCTAGAAAAATACAGAAAATTTCCAAAACATTCTAATCGGTGTATAAACATGTTTTAAAAAATTTGCATGGCAAAAACATGAGATGCAGCTGGCATAAATGCAACATACATTAATGTTGAATGCATTCATGCATGTGTTGACTGCATATTATGTCTTTTATTGCAATATTTTTTTCAAACACGCTAATATATCTATTAGAATATTTTGGAAATTTTCTTGTTTTTTCTAGATACGTTTTCCTATTTCTAGAGGCGAATCTATTATTTTTTGAAACATCTAGATATATTTTCATGTGGTCTAATTATTTTATTTGGGTTTAGAGTATCAACATCTATCTTCCATTTTTTTTGTAAAGCACAGAGACACTTTCTTTGGTTTAAAAACCTTTATCAAGTATTTATCGTTTTTAACCACTTTCAAAATATGACTTTTTCCGTCAAACAAAACATGCGTGGGACTCGGGGGCTTTTTCCGGCTGGGTTGTACTGCTTGAGTTTCAAAATACAACACGATGAACGCCTGAAACTTACAAAACCCACCGTCAGCAGGCCCAGCCCACTCCTTCCGCAGCAAAGAGCAAACTGCAGTAGCCCAGTGCAAAGCGAAACCATCAAACCGGCGCCGATGCTCCGCCGCCGCCTGTGCCCCGGCGTGTTCCTCCGCCTCCTCGCCACTTCCTGCCGCCGCAGCTCCCTCCACCCCTCGCAGCCGCACCTCCGGAGAGCGAGAAAATTGCAATTATACGACGCGAAACAATGCGCTTCGTTATTATAGGACTTCAAACATCGACTTCGCTAAAACGACCCTCGAAACGTTGGCACCTTGCTATACATGGCATTTGGTCTTTTTAATCACTTTTCTTAACTAAAATACATATATTTTACCATGATGTGACCGTATTGCCCTCAGGACTTCAATTGACGTGGGATGGGGCTGCTGGCCGCTCGTCTAGCCTGCCTGACCGACATGGTGGCGATCCTGCTGGAGTGGGTGATGGCGTGGATGGTGCTGCACCCGGGGATCCAGTCCAAGACGCAGGCCTCGCTAACTTTCTCCTTATCCATGAATATGCTCTCCTTTCAGAAAAAAAAATCAAATTCTTTTCCACGTTGACAAAATCGATTTCAAACAAATGGAAAAAGATACATATCAATTATGCAGTAAGAAACACATCATAGTTCTCATCACATATCCGGTACTCCTAACAGTGGAGCACCGTGAACACTCCTTATCAATCGCAAACAACAAAAACAGTAACGTAGACAAAACCACAAATGCAGATTGAACACCATCAGAGACACGACCACAAAAACAAATTATTTATCGTGTAATGAATGACGCTAATAATATAATTATGCATGGAACTCGATCGGGCTTTTTCCGGCTGCATAGTTACGTGAGTTTCAAAATCAACACGATGAACGCCTGAAACTTACAAAACCCACCATCAGCAGGCAGCCCAGGGCTTCTCCAGCAGCAAAGATCAAACTGCAGTAGCCCAGTGCAAAGCGAAACCATCAAACCGGCGCCGATGCTCCGCCGCCGCCTGTGCCCCGGCGTGTTCCTCCGCCTCCTCGCCACTTCCTGCCGCCGCCACTTCCTGCCGCCGCAGCTCCCTCCACCGCCACTTCCTGCCGCCGCAGCTCCCTCCACCGCCGGCGCCCACTGGAAGCGGTGCAGCAGCTGCGCGAGCCAGAGGTGGACGGTGGCAAGCGCCAGAGTCTTGCCAGGGCACACGCGCCGCCCGGCCCCGAGCGGCGCGAGCCGGAGGTCCCCGCCCAGCACGCTCACGTCCTCCTCCTCGAACCGCTCGGGCCGGAACGCGGAGGGGTCCGCCCACACCGCGGGGTCGTGCGCGATGGCCCACATGTTGACCATAGTCGTGGTGCTCGCGGGGACGAGGTGGCCTCCGACCACCGCGTCGTGCACGGCGAGGCGCTCCCACGAGAGCAGCGGGCCGAGCGGGTGCACGCGGAGCGTCTCCTTCACGACGCGCTGCAGGTAGGGCAGCCGGGCCACGTCGGCGTCGGAGATGGCGCGGCCGCGGCCCACGACGGCGTCCAGCTCCGCCTGCGTCTTGGACTGGATCCCCGGGCGCAGCACCATCCGCGCACCCACTCCAGCAGAATCGCCACCGTGTCGGTCAGGCAGGCCAGGGGAGCGGCCAGCAGCCCCATCCACATCAGTTGAAGGTCGAGAGCAATACGGTCACATCACGGTAAAATACATATATTTTAGTTGATAAAAATGATTAAAAAAATTAAATATCATATATAACAAAATATCAATATTTTGAGGGTCGTTTTAACGAATAGCGAAGCTTATTGTTTTGAGTAGTATAATTGCAATTTTCTCCCCGAGAGGTACAGCTCTCCCGACGCTTCCTGTGGCGAAGAAGGTCCCCTTCAATGTGTCGGCGCACGGGAGGTCGTGGAGCGACCCGTACCACTGGATGCGCGACACCTCCGACCCGGACCTCGCGGCCCTCCTCGCCGCAGAGAACGCGTATGCCGACGCCTTCGTCGGCTCGTCAGGTGGCGGCGGCCTTCGCGCGCGCCTCGCCGCCGAGATGCGCGCCCGTCTGCCCGCTTCCGCCACCACACCGCCTCAGCCCTGGGGCCCTTGGTTCGTATCGCGCTGCCTCGTTGTTCTATACTGTATGGCTGGGAATGTGATGGCATGGTTTTCTAAATTGTGGTGATTTAAGGACGTTAGTCTAGTCCTGTGTATTTACTTATTGTTTGGCATATAACTGTCAGAAATGAGATTTTACACTTCTACTGTTTAATTCGTCGATTAGATATTCAGCTGTTTTCTGAATTCAAATGCTAACAACGTAGTAGTAGTAGGACAGATGTACAGGGTCTGTTGTTTAGCTTAGCTTAGAGTTTTAGGAGTCTGATGGAAAAAGTATTCAGATTGTTTGGTTAGTTCGGCAGTTGCAGGAGTAAGATGGTATGCTTAAATGCATTTTACACAACTGTACCTAGGAAAATTTGCATGGTCTGTACACCCTATACGGATCTGATTGAAATTGTTGCTTTTCAATGTGTCTCTTTAGATTTTTTTTAAACAAATTAGTGCTAACAAAAGAATTGTAGTGTGTGAAACAACAAATATTATATGATGTTGGGTTTCAAGCACTAATTTTCAATGCTAAAGTATTTATAGTACAAGATTTAATGGTACAACATGATGAATTGTAGTACTTGATGAACAGTTCTACTTGCTCAAAAAGATGCCAGAGGAAGACTTTAGAATATATAACTTATTTTTTGGAATTCAGGTTGTATTATCAGTATGTTCCAGAGGGAAAGGAATACCCTGTTTTATCTAGGAAGCTGAGGCCTTCTAGTGGTCTGGTAGGAACTCTGCTTGATTACCTTTCTGGTTCAGAGAAGGAGCAAGTGTTGCTTGACTGGAACGAGGTTGCAGAAAAAAATGGTAGGTGCTAATTTTGAGTTTTCTAGGTTACTTTATCCACATGCTTACCTTGACCTGATCTACTTGTGCATAGTGTCATATACATTGATTATTTTGCTCGTTTAAAGATAATGGGAAAAAAATCACCCTGCCTCTGCACCATGCCTATTTGCTCCTGTTTACTGATTTTTCAAAATGTGGATGTTTGTTGCTTGTCTGCATACATTTATTATTTTGGATATTGCGCAGGTTATGTCCACATTGGGACTTGTCGAGTCTCTCCAGATCATAGGTTTCTTGCATATACAGTTGATACATCTGGGGGTGAACTATTTTCCCTTGAAGTGAAAGATCTTCTGTCTGAGCATGTCATCTTTAGTCCACCAAACAAGGGAATAGTTAGTTTAGCATGGGCTTGCAGCAGTGAAAGTTTATTTTACACTGTCTGTGATGAGACTCTGCGTCCTAACCAGTAATTTCTTTCCTACCAAGGGCATATGTTCTATTAATATGAAGCTTGAACAGTTTTGATCATTTTATGTTTTAAAAATGCTTACATGCGATGTGACAGGGTTTTCTGTAAAAAGTTGCAATCGGATGAAGCAGGGTTTCTAGTTTTCACAGAGAAAGATGCAAACTGTTGCGTGGATATTACAAGCACAAAAGATTTTAAGTATATGACTGTCAATTCTAACACTAGGACATCATCTGAGGAAGGTTTCTTTTCAAACTTTTTTCTGATTCCCAATGCACTTTGCAGCATTGCACAGGGCGGGCCTAGTGCAAGCGGTAGAGTCTTACCGCCTGTGACCGGAAGGTCCCGGGTTCTCCTCGCAGTCTCCTCGCATTGCACAGGCGAGGGTAAGGCTTGCCACTGATACCCTTCCCCAGACCCCGCACAGAGCGGGAGCTCTCTGCACTGGGTACGCCCCAATGCACTTTGCAGCATTGATCTTCTGGCCTTTTGCATATATACTTAATTATTATATTTTGCTTCTATGTATGCAGGTTTTTGTGATCGAATCTGATAATCTAAGAGAAGGCTTATGGCCTATACGGAAACGTGTTGACAAAGTTCAGTACTTTTTGGAGCACCACAACGGGTTCTTTTACATTCTTACCAATGCTCCTGTAAATGATACCGAAACGACAACTGAAGGCTACTATCTGGCCAGGTGTAGGGCTGAAAAGTCACTGGTGGATAGATGGCAGGTGTCTCTCTTTCTCTGTGGTTTATTACTGGTGGATTTAGTTCCACTTTGGAAGTTGAACATATGTTCATACAGCTGGGGCACAAAAGAGAGATGTAGGCTGTGCCTATTAGTTTAGAATGTTATGATATTTTTATTCAGTAGCGCTGATAATCTGATATATCTAATATCAAAAGATGCTGGTCACATCCGCCTTTAAAATACACAGCTTCAATACAATTCTCTGTAGTATGGGTGAATTATTGTTGTTAACTGTAACCAGTTTTTTTATGTAGGCAACATTATTTCAAATTAAGGGTGATATTTTTTTCCTAAGTCGGTGATTGCATGCCTATTTCTAGATTGTGACGTTACCTACGCCGGACTGCACCATTCAGGATATGGACATTTTTCATGATAATTTAGTTCTCTATCTTCAAAAGAATGGGACTCCTCTTTTTTGTTCCATCAATATGCCAATTGATGTTGATGTTCAGGTATATTTTCTTGCCTTGTATCATTTGCAATATTGTTTGTTTTAGTGAGATAGAACTCATAGACATTTCATGATTCTGCTTAGACTATAAAGCATCTGTTGCAAGCACTGACTTATTTTGGGATTGTCTTAAGTTTATTAATGACAGTTGTGGATTATAAACTGTATTTGATTTTTATTATAGGAACTAATCATTACAGTTTGTTGCTTAGAGCATCAAGATAGATTTAATAGCTTTATGAATCCTGCAGGAGCCAAAGGAACTTGATGATCTCAATCCATGGTTTTTCCCCATACCGTCAGAGTTATGCAGCATTGTTGCTGGATCCAACAATGATTTCATGTCATCTACTTATCGGCTAGTTGTTTCATCACCTGTGGTACAGCTTTTGCTTATCTATGTCAAACGTGATTTCGTGTACTATTTTTATTTTAGATATCATTAGGCCTCCTTTTCTTGAGTTCCAGCATCTGATGCTTCATTTAACACTATTAGAGCATATAGCTTAGGGAATTCCATTGTACCACTCATGCTGCTAGTGCAGTTTCATTTACCATACAATTGGGTGTATTTCACAGAACTTGTACAGCTAAACAATAGTTTTCCATCATGTTAAACTGCCTCATTATTTTATTAACTAATGTATCATTCAGTACAAACTTGCAGCTTTGTAAAGTTTGTTCCTATAAATCTTTAAATTGGCGTGCCTCAGATACCAGACTTAACTGTGGACTATGATTTGAGAAAAAAGACTTTCACCATCCTTAATCAAGAGGAAGTAACTACCCTCTCTGCAAATCTAGGCAGCCTGGGCTTTCAATCCAATGCTTCAAGCATCCAACAAAACCTGCATCTTGTTGAAAATTCACAAAGTTGGAGTGATCTTTCCAAGCTATTCTCATGTCAAAGGATTGAAGTTATATCACATGATGGTGTTTCAATACCTTTAGTCATCCTGTATTCACGGGAAGCACATTTTCATGGAGAATCACCTGGGATCTTATACGGTTATGGAGCTTATGGAGAAGATTTGGACAAAAGCTGGTGTTCTGAGAGGTTAAGTCTCCTCTCTCGAGGTTGGGTTCTTGCATTTGCAGATGTTAGGTACGTTCAGGCTACAGAGCTGCAGTGACTGCTGTCGCCACCATATTTCAGAATTTTATATAAAAGATTGTTTGACAAGCAGACTAGCATTCCTGCATAAGTGGCCAGGAGTTATTGCATGCCACAAAAAAAGAAGGATCCATATCCATTAATCCACTGAATCTTAGCAGTACATGAATTTTAACCTTTAGTTTCTGTTAAAGTTAAAGATATTATTTTCTAACATATTGGGATAAATGGTGCTCCATCTCAGGCAAAAACAACATGTCATTTACTGTCCTGGCATATGAGTTCCCCATTGAACATTCCCTTATTACAGGGGCACTGGCCAGATTTACGATAGTTGTTTTGCCGGTCTTGAAATTCTAGTTTTCATCCAAAGTTGATTGGAGGTCTGAACAGCCAAGCTACTGATATCAGGAATGCTCTGCAATATGAACAGAAAATTATTTTCTATTCATTTTCTGTTGTGATAATTCTTGTTTATATTGATAACTTCTGTTTTATATGAGGCACTAAATTCTTGAGCCTAATCATGTAGGGGTGGAAGGGATTTATCATGGCATCTGGCAGGAACCAAAGCTAGTGGGCGCCGTCATTAATATGCTTCCAGACTTATTTTCTGCTGCAGTTCTCAAGGTAAGTCAATCAGCTCAGTTAGACATACAAATTCTTGGGCAAGTAAATGGATCCATTTCATACTGGGATTTCTCTCCCTACTCATGCTTCTGCTAATACTCATTTTGTTCAGGTTTTCATTTATGGTTAACACATGTATTTCTACTTAAAACAGGTTCCTTTTCTTGATATCTGCAACACAATGTTGGATCCTACTTTGCCTCTCACTGTCTTGGACTATGAAGAGTTTGGAGACCCTAATATCCCAGCTGAATTTGAGGCGATCAGCAGTTATTCTCCTTATGATAACTTAGCACCTGGTGTATGCTATCCTCCAGTCCTGGTGACTGCCTCGTTTAATGATACAAGGTTTTGCCCTAGTATAAATTCATTCTTTTGTAGACTGCATTGATCATATGTATATACTTTTTCCACGTGAAATTGTGGGTTTTTTTACTTATTTATCCTTTTGCTGTCACCTCGCAGTTGCAGTATTTGGGTAGACTTCTTAGTTGAGCATTGTTAGTTTCCTTGCCAGTTTTTCATTATCTTTGTTTGGCAGGGTAGGAGTTTGGGAAGCTGCTAAGTGGGTTGCAAAAGTAAGAGATGTCACATGCAGATCCTGTTCACAGTCAGTTATTCTCAAAACTAATATGCAAAGTGGCCATTTTGGTGAGGGTGGGCGTTTCATGCCCTGTGATGAGACAGCCTTTGAGTATACATTTCTCATGAAGGCCTTGGGTTTGGATGACATATCTATGACATAGTGGACTCACGCCTGAGGCTTTCATGGAACATATTTTGTGTGGCTCTGAAAGCAAAAACTGAGGTAATTGCCTTTTGTGATATGCTCAGGGATAAGATTGCATCCTCATAATTATTGATTAAAAGAGCTTGCAATGGAAGGTGATGCGCCCTTGAGGTGTGTTCTGTTTGGCTTTTAATAGACAAGCTGTGGATTTCTGTGTGCAGATTATCAACTTATGCTTTCAAAAATAGCACACTTGCATGCTACTCATCAACAGTGCAAAGGTGAAGTGTTCATCACTTCAGGTCAGTAACCAGGAGTACTTGATATAATTGCATTATTAGTACAAATAAGTCTTGTTACAACAGTAGCCAACGCGGTATCTAGCATACTGATCGTCTAGGAATTCTTCAGTGACAGAATATGATTTGATTATGTACTATCTCTTGCACGAAACCAGACTTTTGTTTTCTGCAAACAAATCATCATGAATCATGATCAAATAGGTCTGACTGTATCATGGCTTTCAATGTTTTTCCCCTGAGTACGCAGGTGGCAGATGAGATCCTTATGGTGTTAGATATGGCCGTATGGGGCTATTGGGCAAAGTATAAATGGCTGAGCATGGATGCTAATTTTGACTTCTACTTCATACGGCAGGTTAGTGTATGTTGTTTTCTTCTCTTTGGCTCATCTGAGACGATGTGCTCTTTTTACACTATCCTTAAATTAAGTTAGGTTACATGTCACATTCTTGTGCTCATTTTTTTATAAGTGTAATCGTCGTCCCCTTGCTATGCCACATACTCCATTGTTCATTGCAAGTGTGCAACACTACAAATTAAAATGATGACTTGCTAAAACTTATTGAGCACATTTCTCCGAGCTTATCCTAGTCACCCTTTCCTTCTTTCTTCTTTTCGAGGATCCTAGTCACCGTCTGTATATATATATATATACTTGTGTCCACTTTGTTCAGTGCAGCAATGCAAAGTAAATGATGACTGTTTGAAACGTACCGAGCACATTTCTCTGTGACTATCCTATTTTAGAGATTGCGCTTTCCATAGTGATTCAATTATTTAGGCTTGTAGTGCACGGTGCTCGTGCCAATAAGTTCCAGCTGGTGCATATGGATCTGTGATATAAACAACTATCATACCCAGAATATTCTATAGTATAGCTAACAAACCCCAAGGATAAGTCGTGGAGTTCAAAACTGTCCTTGTTTTTGTCAGTATATACGCAGTACCTGAGATTCTATTGTACGGATACGCTTATTGTTACTCTCAGTATATATTCATCTCATCCGATGCACTTGATTGCATAAGCACTTCGCACATTGCATCACAGGGATGTAAACCGGATCGAAAATGAAACCGCTGGCCATGGAGGTGCCCAAGCCGACGAGGAGGACGTTGAGGAATTTGAGTGAGCTCCTGGAAGCACCGATTTGCAATTATTAAAAATAATTGATGCATTACGTTCGGGGAGTTGTTTGAATTGTTATACCATATCCTTGTTGAGAAAAATAGTCGGGTGATTGTCACCGCGAGCTATAGGTGGTTGATGCGCTTGGAAAAAGAAATAAGTGAACGAAGTTGAACCGGCGGAGACGGGTAGTTTGAACGTAGGGATATATATGTACCAGGCACCTGTACCGAGTGCTTGAAGGTGAATCTACAATAATAAAAATATATGAATCTGATTGCTGGGCCGGTGTTCCAAAGTCAATCTTAGTTTCGCTGGAGAATACTTAGGAGAAAACTTCGGTGGAGGATGCGATGAACGGTCGATTGAATCGCCATCGCTCCTAGATAGTGAGCACTTGACTTGAGTGACTTCATCGTAGTAATGTTGATGGCTTGGGACGGTTATAATATATATGACATTATGGAAGTTGTTAATAATCATTGGTTATATTATTTTTAATCTCTCCTAGTAATAAATTAGTCGACGAGGTTAATAATAATTATGACAATAAATCAAATGCTAAAAATGCCTTTTTGCAAATAGACCCTACTATAAAGCCCTTCATAATCCTTGGTGTCACTTTATTTTCGGTTTAGTAAGCCCCTTCTTTTCATGATTTTATCATGCGCGCATGATCACACCTGATTTCGTGATTCGTCTCTCTAGGAAGCATTCAGTTGGTCATCATAACCATCCCTAAGTACCAACCGGCATGAGCTCACGCGGATATGTTACAGAGATGGCCTCGGGACATTGGTGGGGGTTGTTGATTTGACTAGTGTATGCTGGGCTAGGGCATGCCGTCGCATTCAGATTGGGCGTCGAACGGCAGTCTTGTGAGATTATCTATTCCCTTCCGTCCAAAAAGCAAAGTATAAATTAAATTTCTTCATTTTGTGTATGTTGTTTTTCTTCTCTTTGGATACATTAATCTCAACCAACGCTCCTCGTCCCCTTTATGCCACATACTCCTTATTGCAAGTGTGAACTAAATTTTGAGCTAAACATGGAATAACCCTTTCCTTTTTCTTCTTTTCGAGGATCCTAGTCACCGTCTGTATATATATATATATATATTTATATATATATATATATATATATATAGGCTGCAAATATCTAAAAAAATATATAATATTTAGGGTAAAGTACACTTTCCAACCCTCAACTACCGAGCACATTTCTCTGTGACTATCCTATTTTAGAGATTGCGCTTTCCATAGTGATTCAATTATTTAGGCTTGTAGTTCGAGTTTTCAACCTTCAACTATCAAATCAGGTTATAGAAACACCCTCCAACTATCAAAATCGGACCTGAAATTTTGGTCACGCAGGCCCGTCGCTGGAATTTTCGATTGAAAAAAAGCGGTTTTCTATTTTCGGAGGCGTCGAAATTTTATATTATTTTTTGAGCATCTTAACGTTCCTCAAATGAAAAAAAACTCGAAAACTACATTAAGTTGTAGATCTCGCTATATTGAGAGCTACAAATTTGATATAAAATGTATTTCATTTAACTCCATACAAATAATATATTAGTGCTCTGATTTGACTAATGCGGCTAGCATGCCGCGCTAGATAGCGATTTTGGATATGTAGTCTTTGAAATTTTATATTATTTTTTCGAGCATCTGAGATATCTATTGTCCTCAAAAAAAAAAAAATTAAAACTTATAAAGTTGTAGATCTCATCGAGGTCTACAATTTTATATATAAAATTATCTTCATCCGATATCGTAAATTGAAGGGTTATGATTTTCGAGAGGCGTCGAAAAAATTTGAGCATCTTAACGTCTTCAAACGACAAAAACAAAGTTGTGGCCTAACAAATTAAGTATCATTAGATTAATTACATATATATAAAGGTATATAAATATTGATACTATCGTTTATAACTTAATCAAATTTGAGACACCAAAGGATGCTAGTTCAGTTGGTTAGCTTCATCCGACATCGTATTGAAGGGTTATGAGGCATCTCTTAGGTCCCTAACAAATTAAGTTCATTAGATTAACTACTATATGGGATACTATTGTTTATAACTTAATCAAATTTGAGACACCAAAGGATGCTAGTTCAGTTGGTTAGCACTTCTGGAGGCATCCCTTAGGTCCCAAGTTCAAACTCTTATGGGAGCGAATTTTAGGCTAAGTATAGTTAAAAATTCCCTTGCTCGTCCTAGGCCAAAGCACTTCTTAAGAGAAGCATATGGATGGGGCGGGGTTCGGGGATTTTCTCGGTCTTTGTGAAAAGATTTTTTTTCTTAATCATAATGGGGCGGTCATGACTCCCGCAGGCCTAAGTTTTTTTAATCAAATTTGAGACTGCTTAACTATTTAAAGATTGAGTTTTTTAATTATTATTGAGACGGGCCGGAGGCCGGAGGGAGCAACTTTACTTGTTAGAGCAGTCACAGCAGTGTAATGATATCATTGGGCATTGGCCCACCGCTTGCTTGCTGAAAACGCAGGACGCAGGCTGCGTTGTTCGCTATGCCGATTCGCTAGGTATTCTATCATGCGCTTATTGTATCACCTTTGGAGTGCGTGGTGATTATTCTGTTGCTGTGGTTTATTTGCTCCCAACTGCTACTATGGTTTAATATGTACGTAGATCGTCTTTCAAGCTCTGTGTCAGTGTTGATGCATTTGGTGGTACAAGTAGTCGCAGAGTGGAAGTAAACCACCTTGTTAGGTTAATGCCTCTCCCATGGGGCTTGGGGGATTAAGGGCGCGTTTGGATTGAGGCTGGTATTTGCTTGCCACACAACGAATCCTAGCACCAGAAATTTATTTCAAAATAATATAATTCTTTGACGTCATAGATGGTGTTATCGTTTCCCGTAAAGTTGGCCAAATTTGAGATAGTTTGACTTGATTTTAGGAATTTATTTATTTTGTGAAGGAGGGAGTAGTGAAGAAACATTGTTTCCTCTTCGCAGAAACAGTACTCTAGATGTTACAGGTCGATTACCAACGGGGAGTGGGAGAGGGAGCGCGCGCGCGTCAGATTCATCCGATACTGATGCAGCTCATGCCTTGTGATGTCTGATCGTGTCCTAGACGATAAGATAGCAGGTTCAGAGGTTGGACACCTGTTCCTAGGAGCCCCATGTATTTCTGTCTTTGTTTCACAATCGACATCTTTGTTTCACAGAAGAAACCTTACGTGGCAATTGTGACGACGCGTGCCAGCTGCTTACGCAAATTTAACCTAGAAAAATATGGCTAACAAACAGATAAGTTTTCTGTTGATGATGATACCCTTCGACCCAATGTCAGCTTGATAGCACGCCAAACTTATGCCACTGCGAGAAGAATCTTTTCGGTTTCATGAGCAAACCGCTTTAACGATCACGGATGGCACCAAAATCTAGAAACTGAAATCTCGCAGCAATTGGTTTTACTCTTTTAGATCAAACATTCCTTTCTCTACAACTACAAGCAATGCCTGGTTGGCTGGTTCGAGGGGGTGCTCCTGGCCGTTTTCAAGCTGAAGACGATGAGGCCGCCTCAGTTTTTGGATGGGTCCGTGGATGGACTCCGTGGCTTAGGTGCTGTTAAATTAAATAAAGTTTATGGATGTCATATCGGGTGTTATATGGAAATGTTTGATAGTAATAATAAAATAAATTATAGAAATCCTCAGTAATCTGCGAGACGAATTTATTAAGCCTAATTAATCCGCGTTCTCAGTAATCCACGAGACAAATTTATTAAGCTCAATCAATCCGTCATTAGCATATGTTTACGGTAGCATCACATTGTCAAATTATGGATTAATTAGGTTTAAAAAATCGTCTCGCAAATTAGTCGCAATCTGTGCAATTAGTTATTTTTTTAGTCTATATTTAACACTTTATGTATGTGTCTAAATATTCGATATGATAGGAAGTAAATTTTAGGAAAAGAAACTAAACAAGACCTTATTTATGGGCGTTATTGTAGTTGAGGATGGGCTCCATGCTGCACACAAGAAGCCCCACGGACATTCCGGCTGTCACACACTCTTTTTCAACTTTTCCCATTTGTGCATCTTATTTCTCTTTGGCAGGCTAGGAACATTCAAAAGCGTGCCGTGTGGGTCACAGCCTAACCCTGGCCCACATGCCAGTGTCACTAGTTGCAGATGACACCCCCCTCCCCTTTTTTCCCCTGATATATCTCTGTCTATCTTATCTTATTTGTCTTATAAGCCAAAAACTTATACAGCTGACAACACAAAATGGACGTTAATAGACATTTTGTTGAAAACTATTGTTATAATATACAACTTTTTTATTTAAGATGTTTATCTTTTAGATATTAGTACTACTAATTAATGCTTTAAAATTGGCTTGGGACAAAGCTAGATGTGGCAATGTGCTCGCATCTGTGATTGAGGATCATTATCTAAAAAAAATTCTGTGATTGAGGATAGATGACTTCAAGGTCCACTAAGCCTGCTGAAGTCAAACTGGAGGCTTCCTACACCCTGTCCATGTCCACTGTTCCGCTGACATCAGGGGCCGCACATTGGTTTCCCTTCCCAGGCTCATAGCCTCTTCCCACGCAACGCAGGGTCGCAGGCCTTCCTTTTGCATACGGACAGGGCCCCGTGCGTACAAATAAGCCAAGCTGGGCGGCCACACGGGCACGAACTTGACACGCGCCTCCCGCCCGCCGCCGGTTGCCGCCGCAGCTCTCACGGCGACGCCGGCACGTCACGGTTCGCCGGTCCGCTAATCCGCTCTCGCGCACACTGTTTTTGGTAAGGGGCCAATAATCATAAAGGCAGGCAAGGCAGTACGCCGAGAGAGCCGCTAAGCTTTGGTAGTCACGGGAGATCGCAAGAACCTCCACTCCTGTCTCTAAGAGGGAGGTTCGCCGTGCCTCGGATGAGATGGGCGGCGGAGGAGGAGGCGGGAAGTCCGAGAAGGTGCGGCGTTCGTCGTCGGCGCGGGTGAAGCTGTGGGTAGCGCGCGCCAGCACCGTGCTGCTCTGGACGTGCGTCGTCCACCTCGCGGCCTACCGGGAGCTCTGGGCGCCCAGCGTGCTCACCAGGTGGCCTGGCTGCCTCAACCACCCGCACGTCGTGCAGAATTCATCGGAGGAGGTGGCGGTGGCTGTGGCGGACGCCGGCCAGAGGCACGCAGCGCGCGCTGTGGTGCTTCCACCCAAAAGTAAGTTGGTGGCTTCTTGGTTCATGGTTTTTGGAATATTTGCGAATCAAGCTTCTCTTCTTTCATTGGTTAGGAATTTCTGATCCCTTTTGAGAACTTTTTATTTATTTATGGGGAAAAGATTATGTTCTCCAACGTCCGTCCGTCGTCCCCACCCCCGGGTCTTCATTAAACTTTGAATTGTTTACTCTAGGTGCAGTGTACGTATTTGATATGTTGTTTTTGTGCAAAAGTCTCTGAGGTTATTTCTAGTCCATTTCAATTCTCTGCTCGTTTTGTCTAGTCACCGGCCAATTCGTCAGACTAATTCCGCAGAATAATTCGATTAACCACTCCATGTATTTTCATGAGTTCCTATATCTACGTATTATGTCAAGGCACCAATTAGTAGCATGGCCAATCGTTTGATTTGATCAATACTACGTCCAGGAATCTACAAGAACAATGGCTATCTGATGGTCTCCTGCAACGGTGGGCTTAATCAGATGCGAGCAGCAGTAAGCACTGTGTATCGAAATCTAAATACAACTGTCACAAGTTATATTTCTGAATTTCTGCCATTGTTAAACTTTCTGTGTATCAAATCGAGCATACATCTACCAGAGTTTTTATTTCTGAATTTTGACCGGCTTTCAAATACTGAAACTTCAGCCTCAAAGTTACACTTTTTCTTCATTTTTTGTTGAGACAGATTTGTGATATGGTAACAATTGCAAGGTATCTGAACGTTACTCTTATCGTACCAGAGTTGGATAAAGCTTCATTTTGGGCTGATCCCAGGTGATATTTTCTTTCTATACCAATTCACTTTTCTGTTCCCTTTCCAAAAAGAATCGTTTGCCTTCAATTTATTCTGACGCTTCTTTTCCAGTGATTTTCAAGATATATTTGATGTGGACTACTTCATAGCATCACTAAGAGACGAGGTCCGAATTCTGAGACAACTGCCTCCAAGGCTTAAAAGAAGAGTAGGAATGGGATTTCTTCGGTCCCTGCCACCAGTCAGTTGGTCTGATATCGCCTATTACCATCATCAGGTTTGATCGCACCTTCCTTTTTCGCTAATGCGACATCATGAGCTGAATCCGAAACCAGGTGAAGATTGTTAGTGTTTATTTGGGGAAAACAGATTCTACCTCTGATAAAGAAGTACAAGGTCATTCACCTAAACAGGACAGATGCTCGCCTTGCAAATAATGGCTTACCCATGGAAATTCAGAAACTAAGGTGTCGTGTCAATTACAATGCTTTGAGATTTACCCCTGAAATAGAAAATCTGGGCAGACGTTTGGTTCAAGTTCTTCGCCGGAATGGACCCTTTGTAGTTCTTCACTTACGGTATGAGATGGACATGCTTGCCTTCTCTGGATGCACACATGGTTGCAGCAACATGGAGGCTGAAGAGCTCACAAAAATGAGGTATTGCACATCCTCGTGGCCTCCCCCAAAATTTTCTCCAGCTGTTTTTATAATCTATTGTAAAAAAATATTTGTATTTTGATCTTGACAGATATGGCTACCCATGGTGGAAGGAGAAAGTGATTGACTCTGATGCCAAGAGGAAAGGCGGGCTCTGTCCTTTAACACCGGAGGAGACTGCACTGGTGTTGCAGGCACTCGGAATTGATCGCAGTTATCAAATTTACATTGCCGCAGGTGAAATATATGGTGGACAAAGAAGAATGGCTGCTCTTACCTTGGCTTATCCCAATGTGGTCAGTTCATCATCTTTGATTTTAGTACTGCATTCTTATGATTGAGTTCCTAAAATTATTTACTATTGTGATGATCAGGTTAGAAAAGAGACACTATTGCCTTCAGAACTCAGTCTTTTCCAGAACCATTCTTCCCAGATGGCAGCACTGGATTACATGGTATCCTTGGAGAGTGATATTTTCATACCCACTTATGATGGTAACATGGCAAAAGTTGTAGAAGGTCATCGCAGGTACTTTGTCAGATCCTAATAGTAATTTGTCAGTAAACAAACTCACAGGTGTGCCCGCGTGGTTATCCTTGCAAGCTGACAATGTGCTTGGCAATTTTACCAAATTATGCATAATACAAGCAAATTTTTGTCCATGCTATGGAATTTTTCTTTAGCTATGCTATACTATATTATCACATATAGTAACATAAACAAATGCTGGGATCCTTGTAAGAATAGAATCTTGTGGACTGTCCCTGTTCGCTTGGCTGATAAGCCATGGCTGAAAGTACTGTTGGCTGATTTGTTGTGAGAGAAAAATACTATTCGTTGGTTGAAAAAATACGGCTTATAAGCCAAGCGAACAGGGCAGTCTTTTGCTTTTTGGCATTCTCGGTAATAGTTACTTTCGTATGGTGAAACTGAAGTGTCATGATCTTTTGCCTTGATGAAACCTCCTGTCGCTTTTGAACTGCTGATGGGAACATGTCTTATTATTCTTCTGGGCACAGATATTTGGGATTTAAGAAGACGGTACTGTTAGATCGGAGGCATATTGTCGAGCTTGTAGATGAGTACAGAAACGGCACATTGGGCTGGACTGATTTCTCCTCTGCTGTCATGGCGTCACATATCAGCCGCATGGGCGAGCCGTCTAGGAGGCAGATGATTCCCGACAAACCCAAGGAAGAGGATTACTTCTATGCGAACCCACACGAGTGTTTGCCCGCAGAAGACATTTCAGTCTTGTGATACCCGCAGTACAGTGAATGTGCATCCTTTCAGACTTCAGAACCACACACTCTACAGGATTGGCAAGGATTATGTTGTGCATGCATGTTGAGTTGGCAATAAACGGAGGCCTCGTTTGTTCTGATGAACAAGCGTATGAGATGAAGGACCTCCTCCTTGGGTTAGGTTAGATACAGATTCATGAAATGATTCACCAATTCTTTTTTTGTTCAGAATAAACAGACCTTTTTTGTTGTTTGTACAGATGAAGATAATAAAATTGAGATTGGTTAAAGAGGGGTAAATTTTGTCTCTGACATTGAATCGGTCATGCTCATCCATGATCCATGTGATGCAAACACACACCGACAATAGTGAAAAGTTGTTCCAGTGTTACAAAATTACAATGGGGTGATTGACTTTGAGACGGAGGTTTGAGTTGCATCCGTGATGTTTGTTCCTGAAATGCACTGCAACCATTGACCCTCCTGTTTCTCCTCGAGCGATATCTGTGCAGGGACGCTAACCCGCTATATGAGTATGGTGACGCAGCTTTGACAAGCTGCCCTTGGAATGGAAGCCGTCATCGTCTTCCTGAAGCCACGCAACGCAACCGATGCAGTCGCCTTGGGATTCAAGCCACCGGTGTCTGTGCACGCAGCAGCGGAGCGCGTACTGGTAGTACCTGTGCCGTCGTCAACGTTCGTTGGCGTCGGAACGGAACAACGAGTGATCCCCATCGGTCCGTGCCCAACAACGGACGCAGAGAATTTTGTCGCATTTTTCAAAAAAAAGAGAATTTTGTCGTTCTATATATTATATATACAAGTACACCACACCATAACCATACGATAATCTGGTGGCACGGCACATGCCTGTATATATACAAGTACTCGTGGTGGCACGGCACTCGTACCATGAGCAACGAGAGTTGGTGTACCTGCATCTGAACGCGAGATCGCCTTGTTTCGCTGTGGTCGCCTGCCACGCCGGCATGCGAGTTCGATCCGTCGTGGCCTCATGGGAGGTGATTCGGTCAGCGCGGCGACGGGGCCAGATGGTGGCCGCGCCGTGCGTCGGCCCCTGCCGCCGCTGCAGTCTTGGTAGTGCTCGCAGATAAGATGCTCGCAATCGCAAGGTCGCGTGTCTCTGTCAGGCGTGCTGAGTCCACCAAATCCATCCAGTTGGGGTTGGCATTGATCGATCACTACAACCAACTGTGCGGTGTATCGCAGTAAGTAGTACTCCTTCTAGTGATGGATTGCTTGGTCCACGCACTACGACAGTGCGTCATGACGACCCCTAAAAGGGACTTGGTATATTGCACCGCCCCGCAGACAAGTCACACAACCACAAGCTAGTTTATCCTCGCTTAGTCGCTTGGTCACCGTCGTCACATAGTCAAGGTGGCACAAGCCGCACAATGGCGCCTCGAACAAACGTTGGCATTAGCGATGTGATCGTATCTCGGACTCTATCTCCCCCACCGCCGCCGTCCGTCAACCGTCGTGACGTCCGACGACCATCAGGCCACGCCACCCGCTGTCCTGCAATCGCCGGTGCCGACGCCCATCCGCCAGCACCGACATGGATGCAGATGGTCAGCTCGCTGACCGCGCCGGGGAGGCAGAACTGGAGCACGGTGACGGGATCCGTCCACAAATTCGCACACATTGCCACATAAACCGTTGGACAAACAAACAAGCACACGACCGACGATCAGTTCACTGAGACGGCGGTGCAATAACACTCCCAGCAAAACAGAACACCGTACATAAATAGCGGAACAACTTGACTAGCCGGTGGTCTGGTAGTAGAGTTGTTGGACATCATATATCTTACAGGCTGCTACAGGTCTACAGCACGGAGATTTGTCAAGGAGGGGAAGCTTCTCATATGAATGGAAGCCTGTGTACAAGAGCGGCTTCACAATCCGCAATGGAAGCTCCATGGTTTGTTTCTCTACGTAAAACAATGGAGTACTAAATATAGGGGATGGCGGTGGGAGTGATGAAATCAAAGAATACACCGGAGGTCTCAGCTTGTCACCAAGCACACAATGTACAACCAATCCAAGAGCCTCCCGTTGGCTGGGAGGAAAAGAATGATCAATCCGTCTCGGAGCGAGGTGAGTGAGAGCGGTCATCAGCTGTTGCCCGGTTTATGCCGCTTCGTTGCGTGAGAGAGATCGTCAGCACTGGCACCCAACATTGTCGTCAGCTGATGGCCTAATTCGTTACTAGATGCTGGATCGGCTGGTTCCTGCGCAGAATTGAAGTACCATGTCAAATCATAAATCAGTGTGGATGAATGATGCAAAAATGCAAAATGATCATGCCTATGTGATGGACTGATGGTATGTCAGAGCTTCCACCGTTTGTATTTCATTGTCAGAAACCAGGCACATATTTCATTGTCAGAACATTGTGAAAAGGCCATCACATATTTCCCATCTCACACTTAAAATGAGTTGTACAAATGACTTGAGCTAATTTCAGTTTTGCTGGAATGCTGCTCATATGGTCGGGGTACTATACCTTGGAGTTGGAGGATACACCAGCAACAGGTCTCTTGACAGCACGCTTTCCCAGGTTGATCTGCACAGAGATGCTGGCTTGGGACAAATCTACACCTGAGCTTTGAAGGGCGTGAGTCAACGAGTTAAGTAACCTGTTACAAATAAAAGAAAAGAAGATGTATCAACATACATTTATCTTCGGCAAAGATAACAAATCCTTAATTGCCCATGCCTAAACACAAAGTGCTTTCTGAGTTCAATATTGTGAAAGGACCTAGGTACAAACGAAATAGCAAGAAATTTCAGGTGGGAAAAACTAATGCTGGGCCCACTCAAAGGAAAAAAAAAAGACTAACAGTAAGAATGAAAACTACGAGAGCTATTGACATTAAGGCCTAAAACACTTGGGTACGGGAAAAAAAAAGTGGTACTATGTCCGGTTATAGAACTATGTTGTTTAGGACAAAATTTAGTCAAACCTTAAAAACAACAAACATCAATAACATTTAAATTACTTGGTTTGCAAGTATGCAAGTTATATGTGTAGAATTGTATTGGAAAACACTAGCAAAATATCATAAATTTGAAGGATTAAGAATATGTTGCAGAAGAAATTATTGGTCAAAGATATGCACCGACGACTATGCATAATCAAATGTGACAAGCATATTTGAACGGAGTGAGCAATAAATAACTTATATTCTTTGTGACTTACTCTTGGGAATATTTACTGGACACGCTGATCGTTCCTTCATCTATCGCCAACTGCTGGGTGTTAAGCATTTCCCTGTTCACTGCAGAATCATCCACAGGGGACGGACCTGTCCATTGAGGTTGGGACTGAGATATAGCATTGTCTGCATATAAAGAAGACTCATAAGTAACCAGTGCTGCATCTAGTCTCAGAAAGCACTTCTGAGAATAATACAAAATATATGTGAACCATTGATCATACTTGTAATATTCGCCGGTGTATCTGTTGATCTGTAGCACCCGCTAGCCATGTGATCAGTTTCTGCCTGATCCTGTGCCCCTGATGCAGCTGCAGATGTCACTATGTTGTGATTATCATCGAGTTTCCCTGTGAAATTAGATCCAGGGGAGGATCCATTTCTCATGAAATGTGAAGGGTCAGGCGGGGAATCTCCAGGGATTTGGCCTTTACTCTGCAGCACAAGAATAACAAGCATGCATAAGATGTTGGTTGAAAACTATCGATACAACGTTAACGATTCAGTAAGGCAAATGCATTTTTAGCAACAAACACTTGCCTATGCATTTTTCCAGAATGATCGAAAATACATATTTGACTGCAAAAATGTAAAACTACATTCAGACACAATCAAGAATTGACTGTTCCTTTCCTAACAGCAGTAGCAAGCATTGCAGCTTTGGAGAAAGAAGCAATTACCCATGGAAGCATCTTTGCATTTTCTTGGTTCCATTCTGGGAATGTTGCCTCGTATTTTTGCACTTTCTCTTGCAAAAACCGTATATATTCAATAACCTGCATCAGAAAGGATGGCACAAAGGAATCATGTGTTAATCAACTGAGAAAGATTACTTTGATAAAACAGGAAACCTGTTGAAACCTTACCTCCAAGAGAAATGTTGCTTTGTCTCTCTTTTGATCATTGTGTGGCAACAGCTCCCTAAGTATCTGAAACCTGTAGGAATGATGTGGAGTAAAATAAAAACATAATCCATAAAGAGGTCAAAACTTATTTACGAGCTTATAATTGGTCATAAAATTACTGCATCAAAGCACCTATCATTGATCTTGCTGCGTCTGCGCTGCTCTGTGGCCGAGTGTTTTGACCGCGGTGTGTTTGGCCGCTGATCTGTACCACCATCGCTGCAGCTCCCAGCCTTCCTGTCCACCCTTACTGTCAAATCTGTTGATGCAAACACTATCCATTAGTACAAAATATTGCAGAAAATGGCATGTGAGCCCCTTTTTACTCGTATTAAAATAAAGTGATAATTGCACACCATCTTTTCATGAAGCAAAATTGCCATAGTATACCATGTTCATTTGTTGATTTGAGTGCCCTGCCATGGTTGTGTTATGGTGAGGGATACACAACAGAATCCATTATGAGGCTGGGACACCAAAGGAAATAATTATGGGATATGACCTAGTTTCCCTTACTTCAACACATTACACATGCTCCCTCAGCAAGAACTATGGAGGAAAAGAGCATTCAAAAATATTCTTGTCCACCTCCACCCCCAACTGGAGTTGGAGAAACAAGATTAAGCACGGCAAAAATCTCAGCAGCCCTAGGATGTGAATGATCCCCTGCATGGAAGGAGTGCATCTCTCCATTGATATCAATGGAGCTGCACCCTGTTGCCTTGCTAACGCCCCTCTCTCTCATGGTGACCCTGAGACCAGCAACATGGCTCCACATCCCAGCAGATGCATACAGGTTTGCAAGCTGCACATAATGCCCTGCGTTGGAATGCTCCAGCTCAAAAATGTGCTGCGCAGCATGCTCAG